TGCTTGTCCAAGCCATCCCAATTGGCGTGGCAGAACAAGCTTACATAGAAGAAGAGTCAGCTTACCCAAGACCCGTGGTCTAATTTCATCATTGATTGCTCGTTATTGCCACCATGCGCTGGCGATCCTCCTAAAACAGCCACTGTCAAAGGTCGGAAGCCTTCGCATGTCATCTACACGGATCAACCTGGTTTCCCGTACGTGCAACAGTATCACACGAACACAGGCATCGTAGTTCCTGCCCTTTGACGAGAACGGAGTGTCGCGACGGCGCCACAGGTGCCTCAAGTTAGCAAAAGCCGACCGGGGTTTAGAGATACGAAAGGATGCCTCATCTTCAATAGTGCCATCCGCAGAAATGCAGCTCCTTAGGTAGGCAAGTATATCCGCGTGTTCTAGCTCTATGCCTTCGATGGCGAGCTGAGGAAGCGGTTTTTGCCAATCCTATAGCTGCAATTAACACTTGGAGCGGACAAAGCACATACCATACTTGGGAGTGGTCTTTATTCTCGGCACAGATTTCCGTACAAAACGCTCCTTATCACATGAAGCTTTCACCTTGCCTAGTTGTCTACACCGATTCCCGAACGCGTTGCTCGTGAGAGTTAGCCGATGGCCGAAGGGCAGATAACGGCGCACAAAGAGGAACCGCAAAAATTGGCGAAACGAACGGTCCGCATGCCTTACTTACCAGATTTCACTGCGCTTTGGGGATGTTTTATGCTTCAAAAATGTAACTCAGCCATGGACACGGCGAACAGATGCAAAAGTTACGTGTCTAGACTAGTTTCTATCGTGCATAGCGAAAAGTCTTTGTCCCACTTGGCGTCCCTCGACTATGATCTCATTCCTAACGTGTGGAATACCAGGCATGATATTTTTTTGTTTTCCTCACTTACATCCATCTGATGTGATGTAACGGCTGGGGCGTGTTAAATGATGGGGATGATATCACGGGTAAACGAACCGGTTTACGAACCTCCCGCTCGTGGCGATTGGCCGTGAGGCAACTAGCTTTTAGTGGACGACGATGTTGTAGCTTGACACAGGGTTGTTGTCTAGTTTTGGAATGTTACGCAGTTGAAAGGTGGCGTTGTTTGTTGTCGCACGAAGCATTACGTATCGATGAGTGCAATGTGGCCTCATCTATGAAGGTTGACTTTACACCGTCGATGGTGACGACCTCATGTCGGCCACCGCAGCCAACTGCGAAGGTTTGGTTTGTACGACTGATCACTCTAAGAGCCCCGATGTATGTCGACTGCAGAAGCTATCGAGCACCCATATGCGCGATGGGCGTGTGAACAGGCAGACAGGTTAGCTGGCACGTATACTCGTGTCTTCGGCAACCTGGGAATGGGCGGACGTAGTTCATGCGTCTGGTGTGTTGATCAACCAGGCTAACCTCCGTAGTCGAAACAAGACTTATACGGTGTTGGTGCTGCAACTCAGTACCCAATGCCACATCTGAGGCGTCCGTACTGAGTAACAATGGGACTATGGAATCTTGGTGCGCTATAGAAGATGTGCTAACGATAACCTGTTGTGAAGCTTAGTGCACCCCGCGGCAGTAAAATTGATTGCCACTAACAGAAGGCGAATAGGATCGAACACAACCGAATATATTCGCGGGGTCTACAAGACAGCGCGAACGGGAGTGAGCCAGTACCATTACCCACCGAGCAGATAAGTGCTAACACTGGTGCTGAGGACTATGGACGCAGGGTGGGAACAGTAGAACAAGAGTACATACTCTGCAATCGAACTACGATAAAGGTGTTTATAAAAGATAAGAATTATCTATTGGGTCGCAACCATACTACGCTATCAGTAGTTTAAAAGTATCTGGTACGTCTTCATCCAGCACAGATCCCTTAGTAGTTTCAAGTGTAATAATGTACATTCGATGCACGTTAGAGTAGTCAGCTTGCCGATTCCATCAAATGACTGTACACTGTCGCAATCATGCTCTAATAAACTCTGTGATGTGGTCTGTGGCTTCCGGATTCGAACCTGTGCTCCTTGAACCTCGATTCTTTGAGCTAACCCTTAGGGTACACGCAGCCGGAGATTATGTGAGAAGTGATTGAGGTTCTTGTTCGATGGGCCTAGCGTAGTATAGCTGTCTTGATCACAAACATGCATGAATTATTTGGTACTGAATAGTAGATTGCATTCTCCGCTCATACACACGTTAGTCGCAATACTGCGTTAGCCTATGCACCTGGAAAGCATTCTTAAAATTGTTTGCTTCCCTTTGACTGAAGTTTTTATCCCCATCAGCCCACTCACCGTGTTAAATGTTAAAAATCATATCGATATTTTAAGCGGGGAAAATTCGCTAACTTTCAGTCTTCACACCATCCGCCCATCAACAGTGGCTACTGAGCCCGTAAGTTTCATTGCTTTATTAGGAATAAGTCTCTCGGGACATTTGTATTGAGTAATACAGTGGATATCTTAGAACATCCCGCTTAGCTATATCTGCCACGACATGTATGAGCCTAGACGATCTGTGGTCTCGATTCAGCACGCTGTGGTCCCCGTTGAGAACAGGCGGGTCGTCACACAATAAAACAGTCGCTGCTAACCCCTATCAGCAAATCGAAATGTATCCCCACAATGGAATGCAGCGAGGCGGCGAACCAGCCAATTGATCTGTGTGTGTGTGTGTGTGTGTGAGCGATTCATCGCGCTACTTGTGGGTGACTGTGTATTCGCCACTGCCGCAGCTACCATCGCCTCGTTTATCAAGCCTCCCTGGCGATTCGCATATTGTTAGAGATCATTAGAAATATTTTAGGTATTTTTAGAATGTTCACCACAGCCAGACTCAGTTGGACAGGCATCACACATCTGACAAAGCGCTAGGCAGTGATTTCCTCCCATTGGAACTCGTCGGCACCACTCACCCCCTTCTATCTTACTGGATTCAACCCCACAAGTTAAGCCATTGAACTACGGTGACGGTGACGAACCGCCATGATTGATTACTAGCTCTGATCTAGCGCGACTCACCTCCCACTCTCATGCATGTTGTGAACGTGCAGAGCACGGGGATAGCCCCCAAAACTTACATGCACATGCTTCATTGTAAACTTTTGAGTCTTCCTCTCTTCTTCGGTGACAGATTAGTGCATTTTTTGACAATGGTTAAATTTTCATTGCGCAATTTCTCTATCCCAAAGTTATGACCCAGCAGTGGTACCTCTGGTCTGACCCTGATCGCTGTTGAAATCGAAATAGCTAGGGCTTATTTGCACAATCCCGACATTTTGAGTGCCTGAACGTTTTGGCTTTTTGTACCGCGCATCAGTTGACGGTGTTATTACCTGACCCACATGGCCCTGGTATCCTCAGACGTTCGCCATCAACCTCATGTAGCATTCCTGGGTTTGATCTTTTCGTGCTTCGGATCCATTTATAACCCTAGAAATCGATTCACTGTGGTGTATGGTTCGCTGTTTCGTCCTTTTACAAGGGGCGCTTTGAAGAGTACGAAGAAATTCGTGAGAAAGACGCATTGCTGATTTGTCTCCAAAGGGCCAAGCAGCTCTGCAATTCTTTTCAGGCCTAGTCTGATGGAGGCGAAGCTACGCGAACAGTTCAGACGTTGGTCATCTCAGAAGTAACGGTTTCGTTACAGTTCAACTGAACTAGTGGCTACGCTTTTAGTGGTTAAAATATGGAAACAGTAGTGGCCACGGTTAGGACTTGTGTGCAGCGTGCAGTCCGATTCAAACCGTTGTATTGTTGTGTAGACCAGATGGATGAAGAGTTTTCCGCTGGCATGGTATGGGGCAACGTAACTTGGTGCGTCCCCTACTATTGCAGCGTGCTCTGATCTCGTTCAATTTAGTGGTCATAATCGCAATTTTCCTCACTGGTCCCGTTTCTAGGCATCTTTTGTCTTTGAGAGCGCACTTCTCAAAAGGCTACGTCGTCGGACTATGGCGATTGCTTATAACTGGGCCTGTCACTTGCCTGCGCTACACGAGATAATCATACCTTAGCAATTGTTTTCGCCGTATTAGTTCGTTGCTCAGATTCTGTGATAAAAGTGACACAATTTGTACTAACTCATGAACATTCTGTCAAGCACATCAGGGGCTTTTAAGTTGCATTGCTCCTGTTAGTTTCCGGCTAAGTTCATTACACGCATTATGCTAATTGTGGGGCAGGGAAGTCATTTCGAGTCCTGTCCAGGAATGAACATTCATTATTTGAAGCAGCTGGTTTTCACCACATCACTTTGGGACATCATTCTGTGCTTTTTACATTGTTTTATTTTTCACAAGCGTTTGTACCACATTAACAATTGTATTTAACCAGTAGCCTTATGTGTTACCGCATTGTGCTGCAGCATGTGCTATTGTTTCTCTGCCTATTAGATGCCATGAGTCTGGTAAAACAGTGCCCCATACAGTCAACACTAATGGCTAGAAATCAGTTTGTGCCTTCCTCCTCGAATGATGCCCCATCCCCCCAAAATTCAAGACACGCAGAAGACTGTCTAGGCCCTGGAACATCTTCCGCCAACGCAACCTACTCCTATTTTTCCCCATTTCATAGCGACGAGGGTATTACAGAAATCTCTCCCAATGGGGCCACAAACAGCCTCCTGGATGACGCTCTCTCCGCCGCCATGGAAGCCATTGATGAGACAGATCGTTTCAGTGCGCGCGACGCATTGTGTGCTATTGGACCCGAAGTTGCTACCCTGCCCACCGTCCCGGTGAATTCCAGTTTCGAGTCCCTGGAAAAGGCCAACTGCAACCTTAGTTTTCAAAGCATGGGCTCAAGTCGCTCGTCCACCGATGAATTGCTTAAACACGAATACGAAAAAATCGACGAACCGGAAGATTATAAGGAAGCTGAAAAGAAGCACTTCATCTTGAATGCAGCCTCAACAAAAGATGCGGTCGACCTCGGATGTGAGCAAACAGGTGCTGCAGCGCCCACATTGCGTACTTCACCTTCTCACTCCTCCCTGATCCTTCCTTCGACCTCGGCCCACAGTAATTGGCGATTCTTGCTCCGCCCCATCTTTGAAGCGGCCCTGGTTGAGCGTTTATGGAAGCTCGGGGAACTCGGTTCGTCTAGCCCACAAGCTCTTCTTTTGTCCATCTGGTTTATCCTCTCTCGCCACTTTGGTGTCGGGTGCCGTAATGATCACGCCAAATTGTTGTTCGGTTGCCTTGATGTCGGATTGGATGCTGCTACCGGAGAACGCCAACTGCGTTTTTTTCGGTATGTGTTGCTGAAACTGTCTTGTTTTCACCCACTAATTACTCAACTTATGCCTGATGGGACGGTGGTTCGCTACACTAAATAGCCTAATATCCAACCTCATGAACAGTGCGTCACTTATCAACTAATTCCCACTGTTCCTAGTGCAATCGGGCTCATTGGTATGACATGCAGTGTTTTCTGCGGCATGAACTGAGTCGTTAAGATCTCAGTGATACGCTTGATGGCAGCGTTACATGCTTTGACGATTCACGGAAGCGGTTGTCCGAGTGTGAGGTAATTGAATTGCATCAGTTTCCACGTACTGGCTAAGGAAACGTTGTCTTATTCATGACCTGACTGGTTCGCGTTTGAAGTAGCCCACTTCTGCTTGGACATTCGAACACTGATTCCAATGCTGATTCCAACACTTACCGAACACTTGCTCACAACAGATTCGAGATAGAATCTCCTCATGAGCTCATTTGGTAGGTGGCCAAGTAAACAACCACTGAGACTGAGACTATATTTAAGAGCAAGTAGAAAAGTTTCTGTACAACTCTATCGAATTATGAAAAACCAAAAACTTGTAATTGCAGATGGTCAGCGGTAATGTTTAGTCAGTTAATCGTCTACCCTTGTTCGGTTAGGAATTTGTATTGGTGTCATTATTTCCGTGTATATGATGTATATTTTTGCATTGTATTTGCACCGTCTCACAAAGCACAGATTTCCAAAATAGTCGTCGATACGTGTTTTGAAATACTTCACAGAATCGGCCTCTATTAGTCCTCCAGGTAGTGTATTCCATAAATTTACTATTCTTCCTTAAATACAAACTTGATGAGATACCCTGTTCATGCATGAGACCCTGAGTTTGTAGCCGTGTCCTCGAGTCCTTCAGGGTTCCTGCAGGTGAAATATTGGCCGCAGTATGGGGAAGTGATTCAAGTGTAGTATTCGACGGATCATAATAAGGTCAATTCGTACTCGGCGGTACGATAGTGTGTAGAATCCGCGTCTTTCACGTTTTTCATTCGGAAGCTTTCGTAGATTTGGTATCATTCTAGTTGCGATGTGCTGTATTTTCTCCAGCTTTTCCGTTTCCCGCTGGGTTATCGGACGGTAGGCTAGGGCGCTGTATTCAAGGATTGGTGTGATGAGCGAGGCGAATATAAGGGGGACGATTTCTTCGGACCATGTGGAGAAACTACGTCTTAATGCCCAGAGCATACGAAGTACCACACGATACAATTTCTCTGTATTTTCTAGTGATCTCATATCATGTCACGAAAGTACTCCTAAGTCTCTAACAGATGTTTGTTGTGGTGGAGTAATTGGCCGTCCAAGGTGTATGATCGAGTGGTTGGACGTCTGGTGATACTGATTAACTCCGACTTGCTTCCGTTAAGAGGGAGCTGCATTTCAGTCGACCACGTTGAGAGTCGATGTAAGTCATGCTGGAGGCGAACGCAGTCGCCCTGGTTCTCAATGATCCTCCAGATTTTTAAATCATCTGCAAATCGGGCACATAGTGACTGGAGCTGCTGCGGATGATTGTTGACATGAATAAAAAATAATACTAGCCTCAGTACAGTTCCTTGAGGCAAGCCACTGGTCGATAGCAGCCAGTCTGTCAGGTAGTCATTGACCTGTAAACTTTCGTCCCACAATAAACTCTTGTAACCACTGAATTAGCGTGCCACCGATTCCGTAGGTCCTCAGTTTACGAAGGAGCACCTCGTGGTTCACTCTGTCGAACGCCTTACTACAGTCGATGTACACCACGTCAACATCTTTCTGTTCATTGAGAGCTCGTACCCACTGGTGGTTTGTATACATCGTTGGTGGTACAGGATCGCCGTTTCGTAAAGCCGTGTTTTGCTGGCGTCAATACGTCTATCGATTCGAAGAACGACAGCAGACACTTTTTCACAACCTTCTTGAGAACTTTGGATAATATCGAAGTCAAACATATTGATCTTTAGTTCTCTATATTACTCGGATCACCACCCTTGGGAGGCGGTCTCACCATCGAGCATTTCCAGTCGTTCGGGACAGATCCTTGAGAGATTGATGTATTGAATAAGTTTGTCACAGCTGGTGAGATGATAATCGATAATGACTTGAGTATTAGTGGGTGAAGTCCGTCTGGTCCGGGGGGCTTTGCACCATCGAGGTTGACGAATAGCTGATACACCTCGACTGCATCACATTGTAGCCTGTTGAACAAGACTGGCGCAACCTGTACCGGTACTGAAACAGCCGCTGATTTACTGGAAAATACAGTGAAGAAGTGCGTAGCCAGGGCGTCCGCGCGCTCCGCGCTTGAAATGAGTGTCTTCCCGTCTAAGCTCTCTAAGACCGGTAGGTCGCCCCCAGGTTTCATTTGACGATTCAAGTAGCCAACTATTCTTTTGGGTGCAGTTGTGGCCGAGGATGGTAGCTCCTCTTCGAACTGCGGGCTTTTCTTGATCTTTGCGGCGTTACATTAGTTACGCTGTTTTTTGTACTCCCTGTAATCTTCATCACAACCCGAGATGATGTATCTATCCCAAACTTTGCGACGCCATCGCGCTAACCGCTTATATTCCTTATCAAACCAATGCGGTTTGACAGGTATGACTTTGGAATACAACCGGGGAACGAACTGAGTACATAGCTAGTTACGCTTCCTCTTCATTAACGGCCAGCAGTCCTCAAGCGGCGCATCCTGTGGTAGTTTCCAATCAGTCTGACTTGCGGTTTGGACGAGCCCGTTGAAGTCCATTCCGTTGCTTGTCACATCATATCGCTAGTTCTATGCTTGCCACAAAAGAGCAGTGGTCACTGTTTGCTAAAAATTCGAGGACTCTGACCTCTTTCGGATTTTATTCGCAGCTCGTAAATATTTGGTCCAGACAAGATGCCGAGTGCGGAGTTATACGCGTAGGTTGGATGACACGTTGCGTTGCCCCGATTTCAATAGCCCTTTTAGCGAATTGAGCCTCAACCTCACCATGGCCGGGAAGATGCCGAACGTGAGCAGAATATCTTAGATAAATTTAGGCCTGTATGGTTTGGCCGTTTGCCCCAATTTGATCCGTCTTTTTGTGGACTCGGTTTCTAGGTACCACGAGAAATATACCTTATTATTATGGATAATCAAACCTAGTAAAACACTCATTAAGATGCTTTGAATAATTTAACTTCCTTGTGGATGAACTCCTCTCCGACATACCTACTAAATTTCTGCTTTGCTTTTCTACTCACGGCGCAATACCTGATTGGAAGGTCATCATGCGGCAGCATAATAATTTACTTGCAACAAGCAGCTATTTTGAAATTACGAAGTGTCACTTGGCAAGGGGATCTGGAAAGAGAGAAAGGCACTCTAAGGATGTGTAACAATGAATACGGCCGGCCAGAATCGGTAGCATCCAAGGTCCCAACATTGTGAGCCGTTACAATGAACAGTGGCTTGTTGCGGGTAATAAAGTAGCGGCTTGACATATCCCCTAGAATGGTTAGGGTGAAAACGAATAATCAAGTGGTATGTATGCCATCAGTTTAAGCCCCTATCGTTTTGAATATGCTGTTGCAAGACGATTGCGTGAAATGGTCATTGAATGTTTGCAACTAAATCACTATGGCGAGCAGTCATGGTTGACGTTTTTGTGAAAAAGTGCGATGACAACACCCACTGATAACCCGCTTCATAGTATCCATGTGATATATGAATCCAGTATTGACACTAATTAGCACGGTTTAAGTAACGAAGCGCTGGTATCTAGGAGCAATATCCAGTCACTATTTGTGAATACGCAACGTGACGAGGGAAACAACGGAGTACGGGAGAGCGTTCAATAGCTGGCAAACCCGGATTGGAGATTAATACTGTCGATCTTCTATACCTTTTCTCAGCCACACACCGCTACACCGCGCTGCGATGTAATAAAGCAATGAACGTCACTACAAGTTAATGCGACTTGGTCTTTTCGTCTATTGTCTTCTTTTGCACATTAGTTGCTCACATACTTTCGTTGCTTGGATTCTGTAGCTCCGCTGTGTTTCCGTTGCTGTTGGTATTGTTGATTCATCTGTAACCGGTTCGACTAGGCGTGATAACGGTCTTTGGGCTCTTGTGTCTCCTAGGTGTGTCCAGCGTGAATTTCCGCGCTAATCTGAGGAGATTATTGGCCCACGGGGGGTTCTGGCATGCGACTGATTATCTCCCTTCTGCCTGCTTCCGTGCTTGGCCCCGCAGGCAGTTGTATGCATCGAAGGAATTATCAAAGGCATAACATTGCTCCTCTAATCGTTCAACACTGGTTGACTCGTTGATCTTCTGACTAACAGAGTCCTCCTTTCATAGTACTGAATTAACACACTTTTTGACTCTGCTGCACTCCACTTTACCGCTCTCCTATTATGTTTCCTGCACCTTGCCTTTAATCTCTTCCCAGCATCACACGTTCTTCATCATAACTCCTCTTCGTTATCTTCTTCCCTGTAGGTTCGTATCCCTCATTACTTTTTCCCCACTTACTTTCGTGATAGCCTGATTCACGGCGTCTGAACCCGTCGTGTTTCGGTTCTCGGATGACAGTTCGACAACAGAGTAAATCTTAACCAATAAACTGGGCTGTTCGGTGGACGTCGATTTGTGTTTTGACACCGAAATAGCTTATCTCACTCCAACGCATCTCTATACTTGCCTCGGAGTCACCAAACTTTAATCTCTTTGACGACTGTCAACACGTGGCGGCATACATGGCCATGGGAAACGCCATGGGAATAAAAGCTCCAAATCTAAGTGTTTTCTTATTGGCATATTAATAACGCATTTCTTTCTATCGCATTTAACTAACTACAGCACAGTGGACGACACCTTCAGAGAATCGGAGGACGGCACCTTTTCACGCGATCCATCCTGCCGACCGGATCAAGTGGTGCCCGCTCAACCAGATAGACCAGAACGCTGCCCTGTTCGCTTGTTCGAGACTTATTGTGCCCGGCGACTGCCTAGTGTCAGTTTCCCAAACTCGCCCTTGTACTTACAGCCGGAGCGCACAGCTGTGACTAATTGCCAACTCGCTGGAGCGGAGGCAAAGACCATTTGGTACTCCATAAGTGGACTGGGTAAGAACAAAATCGGTTCAATGCTTAATTTTGCTTTGCAAAGCGTTGGAATGCCAATCAGTGGGCAGGCCAATTTGCATCGTATTTGTGACGTCTTGACCACGCTGGCGCTCACACCTGCCAGTGGTGCTGTTGGATTACGATTGGCTGAGTTGACGGCCTCATGCTGGAAATCGGAGACAACAATGTTACGTGAAGAGCTGGAATCCTGCGCTTATCACATCGTGCGTGAAGCCGCTACTCGTGGTTCGCCTATAAACCAGATGCTAACACGATTATGCTCGATCAAAGCTTTCTCCGTCAGACATTCTCGTAGCGCATCGAAAACCTGTCTTGCAGCGTTACCTTTAGCAAGTGGTCAGTCAGCCCCTGTGATGATGAGCAGTGCATCGGACCTCATCTTGTCCCGAGGATCAACCACCTGTCGGCCTATTACTGCGGCTCCATTAAAACCCTCCCACAGGTGAGTCATCTACCGATTTGTTGCTCCAGTAGTGCCAGAAATTTCAATTGTTATGCTGCTCATGGGTGATTCTCGTTGAACTATCTACTATTACCGATTGACCACTTCGAGTGTTGACTCATATTTTAGGTTTATAGCTCTTCCATTGATACTATTGCGTTCTTTTGCTGTATAGAATCGATGGCTGTCAGGTGTGCGGATACCCATAGTTGTTGAGTTATGTCAATTGTGTTTAAGCGGCTCCTAAGTGGCAATCATCCCCACAGTCTTTTCTCGATTGCCCCTTCTATTAGTCCGGTGCTCTGGACCATCTTTAACGTGAGTACCCCGAGTAACTTGTGGTTTATTCTGTCATTCACCATCTCGTTACTTCAGATGGGTTGCCTACTCCATAGCTTGCCAGCTCCATGGCCGGAATAGGTCTCACATTCCACCATTCAACAGCATAAGGGTGTCATCAATTTGCATACCCTGGGCTGTCTACTGACTTGCAGTGATTATCTTTTGTATACACATGGTTTTTCCGAATATATGTTCTACGCATTGCACTGTCCGTCACAACGAGACTGGACCTTAACGTGGTGCGACGGTTTGCGTACCTCATTGACCCATTGAGCTATACTGGGTGATGCCTCCAGATACCTTGAGAGCTACTCCTACCAAGTTGGTCAATAGTTAGAGGTCAGACGAACTCTGTCTCTTGTTCTTCCAGGTTGGGGGTTTGAAACGGGATAGCGTCCATTTCTGTAAAACTAAATCATTGCCACTTCCCCGCTGCCATGCGGACAGGCTTTTGAGCCAAAGGCTTTGAACGAGGACCCTAATCATCCTCCTGTCTAGGTCTAGGTGTCCTGGCAGTATCTCAGCCCACATACTGTTGTGACGCCCAGTACGCCTTCGTTCCACGACCGCAAGAAGAAGTCCAAGATGAGCCGGGATGAACAGATTTTTTTATTACAGCACGGCACCAGTTATATAGCTTTACAAACAAGGGCGAATCCAAGCTACTAAACGCATGAGATCCAACAGGCATGGAGAAAACACAAAATGAAAC